GCCCACCTCACCTCGACAGGCCCTGGTGTGTGATGTTCCCCGCCCTGTATCCATGTGTTCTCATTGCTCAACACCCACTTATGAGTGAGAACATGTGGTGTTTGGTTTTCTGTTCTTGTGTCAGTTTGCTGAGAATGATGGTTTCCAGCTTCATCCATGTCCCTGCAAAAGACATGAACTCATCCTTTTTTATGGCTGCATAGTATTCTGTGGAGTATATGTGCCATATTTTCTTTATCCAGTCTATCTTTGATGGGCATTTGGATTGGTTCCAAGTCTTTGCTATTGTAAATAGTGCCGCAATGAACATATGTGTACATGTGTCTTTATAATAGATCGGTTTAAAATCTTTTGGGTATATACCCAGTAATGGGATTGCTGGGCCAAATGGTATTTCTACTTCCAGATCCTTGAGGAATCACCACACTGCCTTCCACAATGGTTGAACTAATTCACACTCCCACCAGCAGTGTAAAAGCGTGCCTATCTCTCCACATCCTATCCAGCATCTGTTGTCTCCTGACTTTTTAATGATTGCCATTCTAACTGGCGTGAGATGGTATCTCAATGTGGTTTTGATTTGCATTTCTCTAATGACCAGTGATAATTAGCTTTTTTCAAGTTTGTTGGTTGCATAAATATCTTGTTTTGAAAAGTGTCTGTTCATATCCTTAGCCCACTTTTCAATGGGGTTGTTTTTTTCTTGTATATTTGTTTTAGTTCTTTGTAGATTCTGGATATTAGCCCTTTGTCAGATGGGTAGATTGCAAATTTTTTTTCCCATTCTGTTGGTTGCCGGTTTCCTCTAATGATAGTTTCGTTTGCTGTGCAGAAGCACTTAAGTTTAATTAGATCCCATTTGTCTATTTTGGCTTTTGTTGCCATTGCTTTTGGTGTTTTAGTGATGAAGCCCTTGCCTATGCCTATGTCCTGAATGCCTATGCCTAGGTTTTCTTCTAGGGTTTATGGTGTTAGGTCTTACGTTTAAATGTTTAATCCATCTGGAGTTAATTTTTGTGTAAGTTTTAAGGAAGGGATCCAGTTTCAGCTTTCTGCACATGGCTAGCCAGTTTTCCCAATACCATTTATTAAACAGGGAGTCCTTTCCCCATTGTTTGTTTTTGTACGGTTTGCAGATGGTTGTAGATCTGTGGTGTTATTTCTGAGGCCTCTGTTGTGCTCCATGGGTCTATATCTCTGTTTTGGTGACAGTGCCATGCTGTTTTGATTACTGTACCTTTGTAGTATAGTTTGAAGCCAAATAGCATGATGCCTCCAGCATTTTTTTTTTTTTTTTTCTTAGGATTGTCTTGGCTATGCAAGATCTTTTTTTGTTTCATATGAAGTTTAAGTGTTTTTTTCCAAAGTGCTAGGATTACAGCCATGAGCCACTGTATACCCAACATTTTATCAGTTATGTCTTTTGCAAATATTGTCTCCCAATCTGTAGCTTGTTATCTCATTATCTTGACATTGTCCTTCACACAGCAGAAGTTTTTTAATTTTTATTTTAATGAAGTCCAGGTTACCAATTATTCCTTTTATATTTGGGCCTTTGGTATTCTATCTAAAAAATCATCATCATACTGAAGGTCACCTAGATTTTCTCCTATGTTATCTTCCAAAAGTTTGTTTGTTTTTCATAAAGATGGAGTCTTGCTCTGTCACCCAGGCTGGACTGCAGTGGCGTGATCTCGGCTCACTGCAACCTTGGTCTCCCAGATTCAAGCAATTCTCCTGCCTCAGCCTCCCAAGTAACTGAAACTACAGGTGTACACCACCATGCCTGGTTAACTTCTTTTGTATTTTAGTAGAGACAGGATTTCACCATGTTGCTGAGGCTGCTCTCAAACTCCTGAGCTCAGGCAATTCACCCGCTTTGGCCTCCCAAAGTGCAAGGATTACAGGTATGAGCCACCATGCCTGGCTCTTCTAGAAGTTTTAGTTTTGCATTTTACATTTAGGTCTGTGACCCATTTTGAGTTAATTCTTGTGAAGGGTATAAGGTCTGTGTCTAGATTCATGTTTTTGCATTTTGGGGTCCAGTTACTCAAGCACCATTTGCAGAAAAGACCAACTTTTCTCCACTATATTGCCTTTGCTCCTTTGTCAAAGATCAGTTGATTATATTTATATGGGTCTATTTCTGGGTTTTCTCTCCATTCTGTTCCATTAATCTGTTTGTTTGTTCTTTTACCAAACTCACACTGTCTTGATTATTGTAGCTTTACAGTAAGTCTTGAATACAGGTAGTATCAGTCTTTTGACTTTTTCTCCTTCAATATTGAGTTGGCTATTCTGTATCTTTTTCCTCTCTATATAAACTTTAGAACCAGTTTGTCTGCCACATAGATTCCCCAACAGGTTAGGTTCTGGAAAAAATACTTTCTCCAAGGCCAGGCCTTGTTACAAAAAAACCCAGAATGTTCTAGCATTCTGTTTCAAATAGTTCCTTTCTGCTCCCACTGCTAGAAGCATGAGGGAATTTTACTCTAACATTTACTATGAAGATCTGGTAGTAGAGCTCCTGGAAATAAAACTCACAAAAGTGGCAGGGACACCCCCTATGACTCTCAGATTTGTCTATATGGAGCCTCCAGCAATTCATAAACACTGTTCAGGTTATCCTATGCTGGCAATGGTTCCCATGGAGGTTTCTGTTCACGGGTTTCTGTTTTCCTAAGTTGTGATTCTCTGTATCCTCCTGTCTATCTATCTAATATTTGGTGAAGCAGTTTTCTCTGTGACCTTACTTCTCTGACGAACCTAAGAAGAACCAGTGACTTTTCAGTTCATTCAGCTCTTCACTTGTTGTTAGGACAAAGTGATAACTTAAGATTCTTACATTGCTGCACTAGAAAGTAGAAATCCTACAATTGACTTTTAAATTCCTTCTGAACACAAAGAAACAGTAAATTTTGAGACAATAGATATCCCAATTACCCTAATTCAATTATTATGCATTGTGTGGCTTTATCAAAACATCATATGTACCCCATAAATATACATAGCTATTATGTACTCATAATAATTAATACTTTTAATATAAATAATCAAAATAACATAGGCACAAAAAACAAAAAAAAATTTTTTTTATAATATTGGACCTTCAAGCAGCATTGTTCATTCCTCCTTTTATGGGTGAAATGATTTCCTCTCTTGATATCTATGATACTATATTCTGTTTATTTTTCTCCTCTTTTCCAGCCACTCTTCCTTTTATACCTGACTATGGAGTTTTCCAGGGACTGACCTGGGCCCACTTCTCTTACTTACTCCATAGATATTCTTTCCTAGGTGATTTCACCCTTTTCTATGACTTTAAAAAAGTATCTATAGTACAGTACATCTCTTCCCCTGACGTCCAGATTTATAGCCAATGGCCTTCTCAACATTTTCATCTTCATGCATCCTCAGAATTCCTTTTTTCCTGTCACACTAAACAGCATCTTTATCTATTAAAGATGCTGTTCTTAACATTTCTCTTTCCTTCATCATTTGTGTCCAATCTATCAACTCTACAGGCAAAATTATCTTGAATACACGTGTATCTCTTATCTCTCCTATGAAACACTCCAGTCAAAGCCACCACAATCTTTCACCAGAAATCTTTGTAACTTCCTACAAATGGGTCTTCCTATTCACACTCTTGCTCCCTTTCAATTTGTTCCCTAATTCCTTACAGTGACAATCTAGTGTAGTAGAAAGAGTATAGGCTTTAGATCCGGAAATACCTGCCACAACCTCCTCAAAAAAGCCTCCAGATTCTAGCTGGGCTTGATGGCTCATACTTGTGATCCCACATTTTGGGGGGTTGAGGTGGATGGATTGCTTGAGCCTAGGAGTTCAAGACCAACCTGAGCAACATGATGAAACCCTACCTCTACAAAAAATATGAAAATTAGCCATGTGTGGCAGTGTGTGCCTGTAGTCCCAGCTATGAGTAGGCTGAGGCAAGAGGATCATCTGAGTCTGGGGAGGTCAAGGCTGCAGTGAGTGGTGAGTGAGCCACTGCACTCCAGCCTGGGTGACAGAGCAAGACCCTGTCTCAAAAAAAAAATCTCCAGATTCCAAGCCTAACATATGATTCACTAGTAATCTTCAGTATTATTCAAAGGGAAATTGGAAAAAATGTAAAGTACACTGGTCCCCCTAACCCATCCACAGTTTTGTTTTCCACAGTTTCAGTTACCTGTGTCAACCACAGTCCAAAATATAAAATGGAAAGTTCTGGAAATAAACAATTTGTAAGTTTTAAATTGCACACCGTTCTGAGTAGCATGATGAGTGGCATGATGAAATTGTGTGCCATCCCCCTCAGTCCAGTCCGCTTCAGGATCATTAGTTACTCAGTAACTGTCTCAGTTATCAAATCAGAAAAATACAGTATACACAGGGTCAGTACTATCCACAACCACTGGGGGTCTTGGGATGTATCCCTCACAGATAAGGAGGACTACTGTACATTTTCATTCTTTTTTATAAAATTAAATAATCTATTTGATAAACTCCCAAAATGCTTTTAATTACTAACTTAAATAGCTGAAAAAGAATTCCTTTAAAGGTGTTAGTTAAGGCTAGGCACAGTGGCTCATGCCTGTAATCCCAGCGCTTTGGATGGCTGAGGTGGTAGGATCACTTGAGGCCAGGAGTTTGAGACTAATCTGGGCAATAAGGGAGACCTCATATCTACAAAAAAAAAAAAAAAAAATTAATTAGCTGGGCCTGGTAGTGCATGCATGCCTGTAGTTCCAGTTACTCAGGAGGCTGAAGCAGGTTTTGGTTATATGGAAAAATTCTATAGTAGTGAAGCAGGAGAAAAGCTTAAGCCCAGAAGTTCAAGGCTGTAGTGACCTATGATTGCAGCACTGAACACTAACCTGGGTGACAGAATGAGACCCCATTTCTTAACAACAAAAAAAGTAATTTTAAAGTGTTAGTTAAAAGTATATTCTTTATTAAAGAAATTCATTATGATTTATGTGTTATTCTGCTTAAATACTTGCTTTTTTCTTTGTTTTTTCAGGAGTTGAAGGGCAAGTTTTCTCAGCAAGCAAAATCTCACAAGCTGCATTATCTATAAATAAAAACATAGTTTAGTATTCTACTTATTTCATCTGTCATTAACTGTAAGTCCAAAAACCAACAGAATTCAAAGTTGACAAAACAAAACAATATTTTTTAAAACCCCTGATTTTAATGACTGCGCCTTTGTTAATAATTAAACAAGAAAAATTTGTGTATGTTGAATAATAAAAACATCCTTATCTTAAGAGCTCCAGGTTTCACAGACGCAAAAAAAATACATATAAAATATTTTCTTTTCAGTTAGTAGGGAAAGTTGTGATTATAATCTTCATTCATTATCCAACTATTTCCACTGCAATTTTTTCTTTCTTTTTTTTTTGAAATGTAAAAACTTTAGTGGTACAAGTGGGTTTTGGTTATATGGAAAAATTCTATAGTAGTGAAGTCTTGGCTTTTAGTGTACCTGTTTACTGCAACTTTTCTATCAGCATTTTAAACATACTCAAGCCTCTCTCTTCAAAAACTTTTCCTGTACCTCANCCTGCTATAGCCCCTATATCTCTTCTTTCCCACAGACACTCTTCAAAGATCTGTCCACGTATACTAACTTTATTTCCTCTCCCCCTATTTACTTCCAAATCTAAAGTATCCAGTTGCACTCCCACCAATATCAGCAGAAACCTTTCCTGTCCTACCTCATTGGACCTTAATACAACAGGCTGGAACATTTCCAGCTTGGCTCCTTTTTATGTCTCCTCTTCAGTCTTGAGTCTTCCCTTTTCCTCTCTCTGGACTCAATCCAAGCAACAAATATTTATTGAGTGCTATGTGCCAATTTTGCCTATCATATGGATTTAAAATTGCATATTCAGCTTTTCTTTTTCCATTTATTTATTTATTTATTTATTTATTTATTTATTTTGAGATGAAGTCTTGCTCTGTTCCCCAGACTAGAGTGCAGTAGTATGATCTGGGCTCACTGCAACCTCCACCTCCCGGGTTCAAGTGATTCTCCTGCCTCAGCCTCCCAAGTAGCTGAGATTACAGGCATGCACCATCATGCCTAGCTAATTTTTATATATTTTTTAGTAGAGATGGGATTTCACCATGTTGGCCAAGCTGGTCTCGAACTCCTAACCTGAAATGATCCACCCACCTTGGCTTCCCAAAGTACTGGGATTACAGGCATGAGCCACCATGCCCTGCCCAGCTTTTTGTTATTTTTAACACCGCTACCTTGAATTAAGGCACCAAAAGATTTTTCTTTAGATTTCAATAGCATTTCAATTCACCTCCCTCTGCAGTCCATTATCCTTGTATATCTAAAATACAAATATTGTTTGCTTAAAACTCTTCAAAGGCTTTCCACTGCCCTAAGTTAAACTCAAGCTCCTTAATTTACCATTACCAAGTCCTTTTTATGATCTGTGTATTGTTTAAGTATTCCTCAGCCTCACTACAGAGGCCAATAAGGTTGAAGACAAAATACACTATGACCAGTTAAATGTGAATTTCAGATAAACACCGAATATTTTAGTATATCACATTTAATAGCACAAGTATTTATGACATACTTACATTAAAAATTATTTGCTGTTTATTGGAATTCAAATTTAACTGAGCATTCTGTAACTTTATTTTCTAAATCTGTCAACACTAGAGACTAATCACTCCTGCCATATGGATCTTTGAGGGTAAGATGAAGCAGGTGGTTTGAGAGCTCTGTAGGAGACAAAACAAATACTAAGATTTGGAAATAGATTAGATAGTAGCCTGAGAAATGATAAAAAAGGAAATGTCAAGGTTGACCCTCAGGTTTCTGGTTTGCTAAACCACATCTGATAACCAAGCTGGAGTATAATAGAGTAGAACCAGGTTAGGTCTTGGCTGTAATGATTCTTAGTCCTCAACCCCCATTTTATTTCATAATCTTGATAACTTTTGTCATAGCTGGGATTATTCTTTCCTTAAAACACTCTCCTCTCCTGGCTTCTGAGGCATCATTCTTCCTGGTTTTCCTACTTCAGCACCAGCCACTAGGTCTCAGTTTCCTTTGCTGAATATTTCTCCCTTTCCTTACTTTTAATGTTGGAGTGTCCTATTTCCATTCATTGTATTTTTTTAAAATTATTTTTACCTCCTACATTATTTCATTTAATCCTGAGGTTTCAAAACATCTCTTTGCTGATTCCAAATATGTATCCATAGCCCCAGCCTCTGGCATAAACTCCAGACTCCTCATCATAAACTGTCTTCATAACATCTCTACTTGAAAGCTAATAAGCCTTTCAGTTTTAAAATATTTTATTGAAGTATACCATAAACGTAACAGTCACATCTTGGTATATACGTATTCATCCATGTATCTACCACCCAGATCAAGATATAAAATATCTCCAGCACCTGAGAAGTTTTCTATGTGTTCTTTCCTTGTTGGCATCTCCTTTCCAAAGACTACCAGTGTTTTGACATGTCACCCTGAATAGTCTTGCCTGTTCTTGAAGTTTATATACATGAAATTATATAGTATATACATGTTGTATCTATGTTCTTTCACACAACATTATGTGTATGAGCTCACAGATCAAATTTAATATGTCCAAAAAAATTTCTATTAATGGTTCTCCCAACTTGCTCAGCCCTATAGTGCGCCTGTCTCAGTAAATGGTATCATCATTCATCTGATTTCTCAATAATACTCATCCTTGACTTCTGTTTTTCTCTCTTACCTAATATCCAGCCTAATCACAAATTCCTGGTATATATGCCTTTAAAATGTAATCCAAACCAGACCACTGCTACCACCTTGGTCCAAAACACTATTATCTGATCACTATAATAGTTTAATAAGGTCTTCTGGCTTCCACTCTTGCCTTCTTAGTCTATTCTCCACATAACAGTCCAAATGATTATTCTAAAATATATATCTGAGTCTTTGGAACATAGAAAAGTAACACATCTTAGAACCTTAGGACCACAGACGCATTGGACCTAGAAACACAGAACTCAAGGGCTCTTAGAAGCTTGGAGTTTCTCTAGCTTAGCACTTGCTCCTGTGGAATAATGGATAAAGCAGAAAGAATAGGTGAAACACAGTGGTTTCTCAGATATTATATTTAGATTATTTTACATCTTACTACAACATTTATGAATATCCTAAAATGGTAATGTCCAGTGTTGTAGCTACTGACCTATGGAGCTATTTAAATGTATTAAAATGAAATAAAATGTAAACTAAAAAAATATATATCTGATCATGTCATTCCTCAGCTCTAAGATGATCTAAGATGTATTTCTCAGTACATTTAGAATAAATGGAGGATTGCGTTGTAGGGAAGGTGGAGGTAGTTAATGGGTATTTAATTGTACATTTAAAAATAACTAAAAGAGTATACTGGATTATTTGTAACACAAAGGATAAATGTTTGAGGGCATGGATACCCCACTTACCCTGATGTGATAATTATGCATTTCATGCCTGTATTAAAATATCTCATGTAAGCCATAAATATATATACCATCTATGTATCCACAAATATTAAAAATAAAAAAATTTTAAAAAGAAATATGTAAAAAAATCTCTAGAGCAAGAAGTGAACTATTTAATTTTAAATTTAAAATTACCACACAAAAGTAAGAATACAAAAACATACAGAATTCAAGAATCATTATTCTGCCCTACCACCAAGCTTTATAAAGCTTGCTATATTTTCCATAGCAAAAGGAACACTTTTTATTAGGAAAAACCTAGGTAAAATCATGGTTGTTTTTGGTACCCTTGCCACTTTCCCTTTAATTATCACTCATCTGTTATTGACACATTCCCTTATTCTTTGATCTGTAAAACAAATCCTTCTTCTAATGCTAACCCTCCAGGGTAGAAGGTATTACTCCTTCCAAGGATTTTGTGCTGTTACAAGTTTAGTTTTTATCACTAGACTAATTTTGCTTAGAACAGAAAGCATATTAATCGTCTTATACCTATATTTCCTAACTTAATGTACAGCATTTTATAAATGTTCATTAAGATAATTTATTAAAATGAAGATTTTGCACATACATATTCATACAAATATTTACAACCATCAAGAGCAAAATCAGTAATTCTTCAAGTTTACTCTCAAATGGATGCTATAAAACTTGATGCAAGAAATACAGAAAAGAGAAATCTGAGATATAGCAGAGGTTAATAAGGATGTAAACATCTTGCTAAATTTATTCTCATAGTAAATTACATAAGAAAGGGTTAATAATGCAAGACACTTTGCTGATCCCTTCATTTTTCAATCATTATGCATAACCACAATATATCTGTTTACTTACTGTCCTCTCCTACAATTGAAATCTACAAGGGTAGGAAAAGTGTATCACCTCCCACTAGTATACATAACAATGTCTAGTACAGAGTTTATGTTCACTAAATGTTTATTAAATGAATAAATGATTGATGCTGTGGTGATAGCTAAGACCCACTTTCTAATCCCACATATCTTCATTTCTTATATACAATCAAGCTAAAAAGTACTGTTCACTGAGCTACTAACTTCGTTAATGCACGTTGCATGTAGCAAAAATAAATACAGAATCATTTAACAGAAGTAGTACAACTATTACAGAAAATAATTAGTTTCATTATTTATTACCTGATTCTGAATTTGAAGCACACTTTGCTTTTGGAGAAATATTTTTATCTTCTACTGTCATCACTCTAAAACAAGAACAAACTAGTCAGTAGTATTTTCTAAATCTTTCAGTAACTTTCAAAAATCCTCAAATAATACTTAAAGATATTTGTGTGCGATTAATTATCCTGTGGGAAAATATACAGTTGATTAGAAAATGTTATCATATTTATATAAACAAATAGTTTAGTAAAAAAGACAATAATACATTTTGTACATTTATCGGTGTAAAGCAATATGTATAGAGGACAGGACATAGTGTTTAGAATAAGACAGACCTTCCTTTAAACCCCAGTTCTACTACTTATACTTGAGTGGCCTCTGGAAAGCTACTTAGCCTGTCTTGAGTCTTGGTTACCTCATTTATGTAAAAGGGATAGCTATCTTGTTTCCTAAGATTCTTGTGGAAAGACTTTAAGATACATGAAAGATTGATGATGATGATAATGATTATTGAAAGAGAGTTTTGCTTTGTTACCCAGGCTAGAGTGCAGTAAAATATTTTTTTGAAATTAATATCCTGGGTTTTTTTGGTACTTCTACAAATTAGACCACCTCCAATTCTATCCAAATGTGTAGGAAAGGACTAGCTATCACAAGAGGAGTAAATACCAAAGGATCAAAGCTCAGCCTTTGACTACAAAAATGGGATTTCTGAGTCCCTAGCAAGAAAATGCAGTTGAAACCAAAGGTGAGAAGGGGATTTTCTAAATTCCTATACCAATTAATTGAATAGTTGAACTCAGTAAACAGGTATAATTTTATTCTTTCATATTTCCCTTTAAACGCATCCTGTCAAAACGCTACTTTCTTGCCTCTGAATGAACTTTCAGGTAGATTTCTTTTTACTAATGCCTTTCTGGCATTCTCTTATAATAAGCAGTTATTTTTAGGTAACACAAAGTTCAGTGTAATATCACAACTCCAAACTCTTCTTATCTAATTTAAATTTTTTCCTTTTCTCAGCTTGGGTTTGATTTAGACTCAGAATATGCTGTAGGAAGAGCAACCACCATTGCTTTTGCCTCTATTTCTTGTTCTTTTCTCTTACCTATTTGGAAGTACTCTTTTGGTTCCTCTGGCAGTGAATTACAGTGAGTTGTAGAAATGCACAGGAAAGGTCTTTCTCAATCTTGACTGATACTACTATGTGCCATTGGTATCTCTGGGGTATGAAAGATAATCAAATGCAGACTCTTTCAAACTTGAAGTATTCTGAAAAGTTCTTTGGAGGTTTACCTATCACTGGGGCTCTCTCACTTGCTGCTTTTTATCATCTCCTCAGCTTTTGCCTTTGATGACAGAACACCCAACCACTTTTGAGTGAGGTTACTTCATCCTTTGCAGGAAGTCATATTGGACGTAATCCCTTTCAAGATTATCCATAATTATTCCACTTCTATGGAATCCATATTTGACCTATAGGCACTATGCACAAATCTTTGTCATGTCAAACTCTAAAAGTATATCTAGCTTCCTCTTTATTCTGCCATTCCAAAGCACCTAATAGACTCTCTTGCCTTTAGAGTTATCAGGTATGAGTCAGAAACTAACTCCCAGGGACATATGTTGAACCTTTCAAATGGTTCTCTTGGAGATTCCTCATTTGTGTTGAGGTGAGGGGGAAGTCTCCTTGCTCCCTCCATATGACACCAATAATAGCTCTTATCAAAGAAATAGGCATTCTTGGATTTTGCATCCTTTCCATGTTTTCTTAGCCTTTTCTTAGTTTGGAGATGAGTAATGAGTGAATGCTGGTAGAATTGGATTTTGATCTTATCTTTTACAAACTCCACATAGATAATTCTACACAGAATAAGGAATGGGGGTACTTGACAACTATTTGTTTTCATCTATAAGATCATTGTCCAAACTCTAAGACACCATGAAAACCACATTTAACATTCTGCTACATTCCTCAAGTTCCTATTAACATATGTAATTTAAAACATAACTATGGAGTTCTACTATTAGCCATTGCTATGGTTTGAATGGTTGTTCTCTCCAAAATTCATGTTGAAATTTAATTCCCAATGTGGGAGTATTGAGAGACAGGGACTTTAAGAGGTAACTGGATCATGAGGGCTCTGACTTTATAAATGGATTAAACCATTCATGGATTAATGGAGTAATGGATTAATATGTTATCATGGGAATGATATGATGGGCTTTACAAGAGGAAAAAGACTTGAGCTACTGTGCTCAGCCCCTTTGCTATGTGATGCCCTTTGCTACCTCAGGACTCTGCAGAGTCCTCACCAGCAAGAAGGTCCCCACTAACTGCAGCCCCTTGACTTTAGAATTCTTAGCCTTTGTAACTGTAAGAAATAAATTCCTAGCCAGCCATGATGACACATGCCTATAGTCCTATTTACTCAGGAGGCTGAGGATGGAGGATCACTTGAACCCAGGAGTTTGAGAATACAGTGAGCTAGGATGGTGCCACTGCACTCTAGCCTGGGCAACAGAGTAAGACCCTGTTTCTTAAAAAAAAAAAAAAGAAAGAAAAGAAAAGAAAAAGAAAAAGAAATAAAGTAAGATAGGAAAGAAAGGAAGAAGGACAGACAGATGGATAGAAGGAAGGCAGAGAGACAGAAGGAGGGGTGGAGAGAGAGAAAAAGAAAAGAAAAGAAAGAGAAAGGAAAGAAATAAAGAAATGAAAGAAAGAAAAAAAAAGAAGGAAAGAAAGATAGATAGATAGATTCCTTTTCTTTGTAAATTACCCAGTTTCAGGTATTTGTAATAAGCAACAGAAAGCAGACTAAGACAACCATATGATACAGAAAAAGCTAAGGAAGTTAACAAAGATAGATCCCTCCTCTACATCTTCCAGTCTAGAGCATTATTACAAAGAAAAGGGGTACAAAGACTTAGAAAACAAACATACAGTGGGAGCTGACTTTTCTCCCTCTAGCCCAAAATATAAAGATAGGGGTAATAAGTGGGAAGATGACATTAGAAGAGGTGAAGAGAAAGCCAAAAGGATAGGGAGTATGTACCAAATTTCATGTTTAGAACTCTAGGAGATGTCCACACAGGGTGGAAACAACAAGAAGAGCTGGGGATGTTCAGGCAGAGAGGGGACCTCAGTTAGCCCTTCTGAGATTCTCTTCATCCTGTGCATTGAGAACAAGTTCTCAAGGTTCCATACACCACACTCAATGAAGAAAGTGGCCAAATTTATAGCCAAAACACCTGAATAGGAGTGCTGGGGTGAGGTGACTTTACTACAAAGATTGCAGAAAGTCACCTAGTCATAGTCCAGATACTTCAATGAGATTCAAAGGGTTTGGGAAAGCAACAGAAACCAAGGTGAGGTAAAATCAGCAATGGAGGACCTCAGGTCCTAAATAAGGCCTTAAGTTTATGAGTCAATGATTTTTTTCCAGTGGAACCTAGGCCAGGTATAGAACCAGTCTAGAAACCTTGCAGCATCAATCAGTAAAAATCCAGAGACAGCTTATGTGATTCCAGATACCCTCAGGTCCCAATCTTACCCTTTCCCCAAGCCCTGCTAGAAGGCTACATAAGGTCTGCCCCTATTCCTATACACCTACGTTTAGAGTGCCTATTTGTCCAAACTGGAAAATTTCTGAGAGTACAAGGGTGCTCTATTAAGAATTAGGTCAGAAAAACAGGAACATATTGAGACTGCCCAGGCAGATAACGGGATATGATCACCTACCAATATGCCATTCTCTGGACTATGGAATGGGGATAAAATCCAAGATTCAGCATTCACCCAAAAAGGACTTCTAACTGGAAGTAAATGGATGACAACAAGTAAGTTTAACTCATGATTTCTCAGCTAAATAGGGGAGAAGGGTGATGAGGGTTTATGAGAATTTTAGATGTTATTTTTTAAAAACAAAGGTATATTTTCTTTGGACATGTAAGTGGTAGGTTTTATTTTTCATAGAGAGGTCAGTATTTAGATGAGACAGGAAATAGTATCAGATACACATGATCAAGTGTTTTATTACATTTGCTCCATGTAAATACATATGCAACAGTCATTAAAGTGGATCTACAAAGAAGTTATAGCAATATAAATAAAACTCCCTTTCTCCATTAGCTACTATGTCAAAGTTGTAGGGATTTTACTTTGTGAATGTGCCACTTAAATAAAGAGAATGTCAGATGTCTAGTAGATAATAGGCACTCAAATCTGGTATCATTATTATCCAAATATGACTCTATCCTTCTTAAGAATATATTACAAGTTAAAAATTGGACGCCTACAAGATGGCCGTTTAGGAACAGCTCAGGATTGCAGCCCCCAGTGAAAGCGCAGAGGGTGACTGGACGCCGCATTTCCAGACGGGTTTTTATTACCCATTGCCCACAGGTGGAGGAGCCGCACGGGTCGCCAGTGCGGCTGTTTTGGCCGGCACTGCAGTTTTGGCTGGCGCGGCTGTTTTGGCCAGCTCGGCTGTTTTGGCCGACATGGCTGTTTTGGTCCCGCAAGCTGCTTTACCCACATGGCTGTGTTGCCGGCCCCAGCACAGTGGTTCTCCGTACAAAATACACTGGTCTGGGTGCCCTTTTATCTGGCGATTGGAGCCCTGGGAAGTCGCCCATTCATCTGATTAAAAAGGGGACTGAACAGGGAGACAGGCCACAAGATTCCTGGGCAAAATAAGCACCACAAATCTCAGCACCGCTGTTTAAGCCGGTGCAGTGAGTTGTCGCACAGGAAATCACACAGATCCCGGCGACTTTTCAAGAGGCAACTGGAACACCTGGGAGAGAGTTGACTGTTCAACTAAAAAAAAAAAAAAAAAAGCCTCTGAGGCAGGGAGCCAGGTGATCAGGTTCGGCTGGTCCCACCCCCACAAAAGAACAGCAAGCAGAAACTCTCTGGATTGAGAGTTTCACAGCAAACACAACTGAACCCTGGACAATCCAGCTCTGTGGGGGAGGGGTGTCCGCCATTACTGAGGCACTCCACCACTATGGAGGTAGTCCACCATTGCTGAGGCAGCCTGCTGTTGCCAAGGCAACCCGCCATTGCCAGGGCAACCTGCCATTACAGAGAGAGTCCGCCAATACAGAGGTGGGCCACCATTGCCAAGGCAGTTCTAACTACACCCATATAAACAGGACTGCAGGGAAGTTCACATGGCAGCTGGGTAGAGCCCACAACAGCTCTGCAAAGCCACTGCAGGCAGAGAGTGACTAGGCTGCCTCCTTGCTGGGCAGGGCAGCCCTGAAAAAAAGGCAGCAGCACAACGGAAACTCCTAAATAAACCCCTAACTCCCTGGGACAGAGCGCCTGGGAACAAAAAGTGGTTTATGAGTTCTGCTGCAGCAGACCTAAACATACCTGCCTAGCAGCTCTGAATGAACAATGGAGGTCACAGCACAGCACTTAAGCTCCTATAAAGGACAGACTGTCTCCTCAAGAAGCTCCCCGACCCCCATATATCCAAAGAGTCACCTCATAAAGGAGAGCTCAAACTGACATTTGGCAGGTAACCTTCTGGGACAAAGGTAGCAGAAGAAGAAACTGGTAGTAACTCTTACTGTTCTGCAGCTGCTGCAGGTGATCCCCAGGAACACAGGGCCTGGAGTGGACCTTAGCAATCCTACAGTAAAGGGGCCAGACTGTTAGAAGGAAAACTAAGAAACAGAAATAACTTCAACATCAACAAACAGCATGTCCACTCAGAGACCCAAACTGAAAGTCAGCAACTACAAAGATGACGGGTGGATAAATCCACAAAGATGGGAAGAAACAAGCGCAAAAAAGATGAAAACACCCAAAACCAGAACACCTCACATCCTACAAGGGATCACAACTCCTCGCCAGCAAGGGAACAAGGCTGGATGGAGAACGAGTGTGATGAAATGACAGAATCAGGCTTCAGAAGGCGGGTAACAAGAAACTTCTTTGAGCTAAAATAACATGTTCTAACCCAATGCAAAGAACCTAATAAACTTGAAAAAAGATTTCACGAAATGCTAACGAGAATAGACAACTTAGAGAGGAATATAAGTGAATTGATGGAGCTGAAAAACACAACACGAGAACTTCGCGAAGCATGCACAAGTTTCAAAGCCGAATTGACCAAACAGAAGAAAGGATATCAGAGGTCGAAGATCAACTCAATGAAATAAAACGAGAAGGCAAGATTAGAGAAAAAAGGGTAAAAAGGAATGAACAAAGTCTCCAAGAAATGTGGGACTATCTGAAAAGACCTAATCTACATTTGATAGGTGTACCTGAATGTGAGGAAGAGAATGAATCCAAGCTGGAAAATATTCTTCAGGATATCATCCAGGAAAACTTCCCCAACCTAGCAAGGCAGGCCAATATTCAAGTCCGGAAATACAGAGAACACCACAAGATATTCCTCAAGAAGAGCAACACCAAGGCACATAATTGTCAGATTCACCAGGGTTGAAATGAAGGAGAAAATGCTAAGGGCAGCCAGAGAGAAAGTTCGGGTTACCCACAAAGGGAAGTCCATCAGACTCACAGCAGATCTCTCAGCAGAAACCCTACAAGCCAGAAGAGTGGGGGCCAATATTCAACATCCTTAAAGAACTTTCAACCCAGAATCTCCTATCCAGCTAAACTAACCTTCATAAGTGAAGGAAAAATAAAATCCTTTGCAAACAAGCAAGTATTCCGAGATTTCATCACTACCCAGTCTGCTTTACAAGAGCTACTGAAAGAGGCTCTACACACAGAAAGGAACAACCAGTACCAGCCACTCCAAAAACATACCAAATGGTAAAGAGCATCACACAAAGAAGAATCTGCATCAACTAATGGGCAAAACAGTCAGCTAGCATCAAAATGGCAGGATCAAATTCACACATAACAATATGAACCCTAAATGTAAATGGGCTAAATGCCCCAATCAAAAGACATAGACTGGCAAATTGGATAAAAAGCCAAAACCCATTGGTGTGCTGTATCCAGGAAACCCAACACACATGCAAGGATACACAAAGGCTCAAAATAAAGGGATGGAGGCAGATTTACCAAGCAAATGGAGAACAACAACAACAACAACAAAAGCAGGAGTTGCAATTCTCATCTCTGATAAAATAAGACAGGACAGAAACAGATGGAGAAACATTCCATGTTCATGGTTAGGAAGAATCAATATCATGAAAATGGCCATACTGCCCAAAGTAACTTACAGATTCAACACTATCCCCATCAAGCTACCAATGACTTTCTTCACAGAACTGGAAAAAACCATCTGAAACTTCATATGGGACCAAAAGAGAGCCTGCATAGCCAAGTCAATTATAAGCAAAAAGAACAAAGTGGGAGGCATCACACTACCAGACTTCAAACTATACTACAAGGCTACAGTAATCAAAACAGCATGGTACTGGTACCAAAACAGACATATAGACCAATGGAACAGAACAGAGGCCTCGGAGGCAACACAACTTATCTACAACCATCTGATCTTTGACAAACCTCACAAAAACAAGCAATGGGGAAAGGATTCCCTGTCTAATACATGGTGTGGGGAAAAGTGGCTAGCCATATGCAGAAAGCAGAAACTGGACTCCTTCCTGACACTTTACACTAAAATTAACTCCAGATGGTTTAAAGACTTAAACATAAGACCTAACACCATAAAAACCCTAGAAGAAAATCTAGGCAAAAGCATTCAAGACATAGGCGTAGGCAAGGACTTCATGACCAAAACACCAAAAGCATTGGCAACAAAAGCCAAAACAGACAAATGGGACCTAGTCAAACTCCACAGCTTCTGCACGGCAAAAGAAACAGTCATTAGAGTGAATCGGCAACCAACGGAATGGGAAAAACTTTTTACAGTTTATGCATGTGACAAAGTGCTGATATCCAGAATTTACAAAGAGCTAAAACAGATTTACATGAAAAAAACAAACAAACCCATTCAAAAGTGGGCAAAGGATATGAACAGACACTTTACAAAAGAAGACATAC